CATCTGAAAGTATACGCAACATTCCACTTCTGTAAGAATGCCCCACCACACACATACAAAACTTCTCTTATTTTATTTTTTTTTGGTTAATAGAAATCTATTTTCTCTCCCTCCCATCTGTACCCCATTGAAAAAAGAGAAAAGCAAAACAAATTATTTGCAACAGCTATGCATAATCAAGCATATAGCCAAGAACATGTGTAATATAATAAATATATAATAAATTTTATATAAATATATAAAAATCTATATAAATCCATCACCTCTCTTTCAAGATGTAGATGGTATGTTTTATCACTGATCCTTTTAATCATAGATGGTCATTGTATTGAGCATAGTTTTCACAGCTTTCCAAATTGTTTATCTTTACAAGGTTGTTATTATTTTACAAATTATTCTGGTTTTGTTTACCTCACTCTGCATCAGTTAATGTAAGTCTTTCTATATCTATTTCCTCATTTCTTACATCACTAATAGTAACCATCACATTCATATTGTACAACTCATTCATCCATTCCTCAACTGATGGGCATTCTTTCATTTTTTGCAACCACAAACAAAAAACTGCTACATAGCATGCATATATATATATATATATATATATATATATATATGTGTGTGTGTGTGTGTGTGTGTGTGTGTGTGTGTGTGTGTGTGTGTGCGTGTATGTATGTATATAGATGTATATGTATAGATGTATATGTGTGTGTGTATATATATATATATATGCTATGATATATTCAGATATACATGTATTATACATATAGCATCTTTTCTTTCCTTGTTCTCTTTTAGGTATAAGCCCTTATCCTCTGTGACTTCAATATTCACAATGATGTCCCCTCAAACACCCTGACCTTACAGTTTTCTTGAATACTATCTCTTCTTCCTCAGCCACACACAGGGGTTATCACAACTTTGACCTCGCTATCACCTCAAACTTTTCTACCACCATGATTTTTAATTATGAATTTCTCCTCTCTCGAAACAATCGCCTGTCCTTTCTATCCAATGAGATAATATTGGTAAAGTGCTTAGCACATAAGAAGTTTTATATACTTACGCCTCCCATACACACACTTCTCTCTCTCCTTCCCTTCAAAGCCTATTCATAGCACTATTCTTTCTTGAAATGCAATTTATTATCATCCACTGTGACACTGGACATCTCCACCTGAATATCCCAAATGCAATATATATAAATGGAACTCATCTTCCTTGCCCCCTAGGAAATCTTCCCCTTGTACAAACTCCTCTATTTCAGTTGAGGGTATGAATATCCTTCCAGTCACCCAGGTTTATATTTCAGAATCATCTTTGACTCTTCCCATGCCCATACCCAACCAGTGGCCAAGTCTTGTTAATATTACCTCCATACATTCTACATTCTTCCCCTTCTCTTTATTTACTATGGTTCAGTCCCTCATCATCTCATCTAAACTACTTTAATAGCCTAATTGTTCTCCTTATCTTCTCTCCAAGTCTCTCTCTCTCTCTCTCTCTCTCTCTCTCTCTCTCTCTCTCTCTCTCTCTCTCTCTCTCTCTGATCCATCTAAAATAGCTGTCAAAATAATCTTCCTACACTAGAAGTCTGACCATGTCATTCCCTTGCTCAAAAAATTCCAATGGCACCTTATTGCCTCTAGGATAAAATAAAACTCCTCAGCCTGGCATTAAAGGCTCTCCTCATTCTGGCTCCCACCTGCCTTTCTAGACTTATTTCACATTATTCCCCTTTGTCCACTCTACAATCCAGGCAAAATGGCCTGTTCGCTGTTACCCAGAGTAAATAAACCATCTTCTCTCTCCATGCATTCACACATCATCTGCTATTCATAGAATATATTCCTTCCTCATCTTTGCCTTTCAGAATTCTTCTTTGCTTTCAAAGTTCATTTCCGGTGCCACCTTCTTGACAAAGCCTTGAATATCTGCAGATATTCTCAGAGGTCCGGTGTCTCCTTTGCACCCTTTGTTCCCTACTTTGTATTGTACTTAACCTGTACACTTCTTGTATCCCTGTAATAGAATGGAAGTTCCTCGAGGGCAAGGACTGTATCCTTTTTGTCTTTGTACCTACAAGGACTTTTACATAAAAGGCATTTAATATGTCGAATTATTTGAAATTGAATTGACTAGATACAGATACTTGTGTAACATTGCACAATGAAACAGCACAGCCCTGGATTTTGGGGTCCAAAAACCTGGGTTGGAATCCTGAATCCACTAGTTATTATCTCTATGACCTTTGGCAAATCATTTGAACTTTCCCAAATCCTATGACCCTATAAGCAACTTGCTAATGTTAACATTAGGAAAAAGCTCCCTGGGAATCTGACTCTACCCACATATATAATTCTGGCTTATCCTTGGGTGCAACCCACTCAAGGTTAAATTGATTGCAACTTGCTACCTTCCTAGCAGCTTCTCATTTTTAGCAATGATCTGTAGTTTTTCCTTCTAAATCAGAGCATCAGCATAGGAGAGATGAGGCCCCTTTTCAAAGCATCCATGCTTTTGAATTCATTTTCTGCAACAAATACCTGACTATTCCTCACGTGAGATGAGATTTACTTCATTCTCTCTTACAGTCACCAGGGTTTGTTCTAGCTACCATCACTTTTTCTGCAACTCTGATATTGTATTTTCAGTACAGCATTTGGCTTATTGAATGTTTGTGCTTTAATTGGTTTCTCTGATAAATATGAAAAATTGAAAAGTTTAAGGTGTTCATTTTCTGGCAGTGTCTTAGAGTCAAAAATTTTTTCCCCATTATGGAAACATACAAAAAAATTCAGGAGATGTGCTTGTAGTTTTTTTTTAATCTGTGATTGTCTCAAAAGTGTTCCCAAAATAGGCTTAAAGGACATCTGTTTTCCAGTTGTTTTTCACTTAGTTTAGCTTTACCATCACCGACAGTGACACTCTGTTCTGTCACCTATTCATTAATTGGTTTCCTTGGAGCAAACTGTCCCTCCAATATTAGAGAAGTCCACATTGAGAGGTGAGGGCCACTGTTGCAGAGAGAAAATTTCCCTAGCCTAAATTAAATGACTAAATGAAGTTCTCTTGTCTAAGATTGATTATTTACTTCGTGTTGTTTTCTACTTGTGGAAAATCCATTCTATCCCCAGCCCAATGGGGCCTGCCCTGTTCCTGGGACTTATCAACACATTGACCAGTCACTGAAATTTCCTGTCCCTGGAAAGTGAATGGCCTGGTTCTAAATTAGAATCATCTGAAAGGTATAGTGCTCCTTGAAGACTATCATTTTATGAGACTTTCAAGAAACAGTTTGATTTTTTTTTCTTATGCTACAACTTTTATCACCTGGCAGTGATATTGAACTCAGAGCAGTAAATCTATAAGAAATCCATGGAAAGTACAGGAAATGAGCTTTACTGGGCTTTAGAGACACCAGAATCAAATGTAGAGATTTACATTGGAGCTTTTTTCAAAATTTTGTATGTCAGCTTCTAGCCAAGAACCTTGGCAATTACTATAGACAAGCCCATCAAGACAACCCTGGCTAGAAAATACACATAGATCACTTGAAAAATCCTTGTTTTCTGTCTGTACAGTCCCACAGTACAGGTTTATATGGACACTACGCTTACTTAATGTAATTTAAACAGAGTTCTCTCAAAATGCTTCATTATAGCCTGCCAGCTATGTTAACAGAGCAGGTTCTAGAAAGATAACAAAGTCTCTTCCCAGGATTATCCTAGCTAAGTGAGCAAAAGGTTGGCCACCAAGTGATGAATTGTATGGTAATAACAATTCATGAAAATATCTACTAAGCCAGAGAAGGTTTAGACTTTGCATAGGTTAAAGGATGACCTTTATCATTGAAATCACAGATGTTGTCAAGGTCACCTCTACAGTATGGATGTTATGAGAAAAGAATGAATTAGGGAAACAGTATAGCACCTTCATGAGAGAAATTGATTTGGAATGAGAAGACCTAGGTTTGAATCCCAGCCATGCCATTTAACTGCATGACACCCAGGGCAAATCACTTAATCTCCATGGGAATCAGTGTCTTTATCTGTTAAAAAAAAAAATACAGAGGAGAATGGGAACTGGACATATAAAGTTCCTTCTAGCTCTAAATCTGTTAATTAAGTTTGGGGAACAACTTCAGGCCTTTGATGCTGAAAAGAATTAAATGCCTGTATAATGCTATGTATATCTTATCATTTTTTTCATCTCTAATGCTCTTAAAACAAAAAAATTCCTTTTCTTCTTCACCCTCAGTGAAAGTGTATACTCAATACTCTGGTGTTAGGGAGATTTTCAAATTTTCAATCAGACCTGATTTCATTGGCATAGACAGATGCTGTTGTTTGTCATTCGTGCTCAAAGAGGAATAAAATGACATCGTGGTGTCAGGGCCAATGTACAGTATGTCCAGCTGTGGTTGATTACACCAGTACAAGCTTGGAAGGCTCTACTACAGGTCAGGCACAAATAGTCTGTATGACCATGGGAGGGAATGAGTATATAAGTAAAGTAGATGACAGGAAGACAGGTAGAACAAGCATATACTAAGGGCCTACTATATGCTGAGTGAAGAACACCACTGGAGGAAACCAGTCAGTCCTGGTCTTGGAGTTTCTATTCTAATGGAAGAAGAGAACATAAAAAGGAGCTTGAAAAGATGGGGAAAAGGGAAGAATGGATACAGAAATAAACTATAATGGAAGGTTAGGTTGACTCTCTCCAACAGTGAAGGTCATAAGAGTGGTGTTTGAGAGCACTTAGCAGTTAAGTGATTTACCCAGAGACACACAGACCGTATATATGTATGAGAGGCAGTGACTCAGATTGTCATGGTTCCAAGTCTAGCCCTCTATACACTGTTCCATAATGCCTCAAGTGTGAGATATGGAATTAAAGTACACTGCCACCATCCTGAATTTTTTTAGCCAGGAGTGATATAACCCTTTGCTTATACTCACTGTTCAGAGGCAGCAATCCATCCATTTTTCATTTCTTACCTTCCATGTTCTGACCCTTAATCCTGCTTCTAGCATCATGAACTTTATAGTCGGCCTTAATGATTTTGGTAACTTCCTCTGTGTTTTTCAACCACCTGCTTAACTGAAAGACAATATTAGAGCTTTAGAATTAAATATAGAAAATACAGATCTATGAAGTTTGGATTCAGTCAAAGAGCTGCACATGAGGACCTAGAGGGCTGCATGTGGCTTTGTAGCTGCAGGCTCCCCACCCCTGCACCAATAAGCCAACTTAAAACTCAATCCTTTATATGTAAATTGGGAAGTTCCTAGATTTTGATAAAGGAGAAGAAATGAATTAAAATAATAATCCAGGAATTGATTATTCAAGTAAAATTATTAAATTTCTCCATTAACATAGCACCATCCTACCCTTTCATTCAAAATAACTTACCTTTTTAGGAGGAAGTAGAAGTTAATATCCTATATTGCCTGATATTATTAAGGAAGGTAACTAACTTGAAACTCTCTATTACCTTATCCACAGTTCAGTGTCATTGCTTAAATAGCCATGGTTGAGAAAACTAGAAAAGATTTGTGTTTTAATTGTATTCATTTAAAGTGAAAGCACCAAATCTTAAAGACTTGTTTCTCCTTAAGCTCCCCAGAAGCCTGCCACTTAGTCAACCAGCATGGTGGTTCTGATTTCTGAGTAGTTTCATTCCATTGGATCTCCCACTTGAACTATAATATGTAAGGATGAAGAGGTCATCATAACAAATTTAATTCCCATGCTGGAACTTCATTTTGTTAACTCAGATATTCATTACTGACAAAAGAGAAGCCACTTGTCCCATGCAAAGAATTTCTGGTTTTCAGGAAAATGTAATTAACCCAAGAATTTTAGCATTTCAACAGTGTTAGTTTTCATCAGGAAACTTTCTGTATGTTTCAGTCTCTTCATTTTTGTGCTATATGTTTTTTTTTCTTCAGATATTTTAAGTGTTTTTTTAATCTAAAGATTTTCTAATATTCTCCACTCCCTTGGCCAGCAATTCTGGTTACACACTCTGCTATCAAGTCCAGAGACATCATATTCTATCATTTGTCATTGTGCCAAGCACTCTAAATTGTATTCCACGCTGACAAGCTCATCCTACTATTTGTTACATAGGATTTGGCAGTGAAAATTCAATTGCCTGGAACGGGGCAGTAGTTTTATTAAAATATTATGCACTGAATTTGAAAGGCCATAGTTCTTGAGTTACAAATACAAATGGCAGAGACAACAACAGAAAAGGAGACTCATAAATATAAAGGATGAAAAGCCCAACCAGTTCTGAAAGGGAATAGATTAAAGGCTCCAACTATAGCTAACATGTGGTACACAAATCAGAATCTCCAATCTTACCATCTTGGACATTCCCGAGATTTCATAGGTGTGGGTACTCTCCACTGATAAATTGGCATCCAAGAATTTCCATAAATCCCCTATAGAGTAATCATTCATTCATTAAATCTGTCAACAGAAGTTTATGAAATAGCTATATAAGGCATTGTACTAGGCTCTGAGTGTCCACCCAACAGGATCTGCTTCTTTTCATATCTTAAGAGTATCAATACAGCACTAGGTTTTTTGTTGTCTCTCCTCCATACTTCATGACTTAACCACCTCCTTTTTCCAGTCATTCCTGTCCTTAATGACATCTTCTATTCCATTTCTTGCCCAGAAGTCATCATTGGCCATATCTTATCATTAGAGTCACTTACAATTTTGATTCTTCCAAGATAGTGGTTAAAGAAAGGGCTCCCCATAGCAAGAGGTCTTCATGGCATTCAACAGTTTAGAGTCATGCCTGTCCTGACTTGTAAACCCCATAATTCGCATGCTATAATTGCTTATATTTGCCACAAAATCTCACTCTTCTTAACCTTGGGTGCTATTTTGTGGGTTGCCACTGAATAAAATTATAAGCAATTTTATTTGTGGAATTATGGGAAGTAAAAGCCAGACAGGACATAGCTCTAACCTGTTCAGTGCCATGAGCACCACTTCATTCTCAGGGCACTGCTACCCTTCCCTACTTGGTGATAGCCATGTAAAAAAAATCTGCTGCACATTCTGTTTTGAAGGGGCTATTTTTAAAAAGCTGTAGTCTTTGTGCACATGCTGCCCTTGTACATAAATGTAACTATAAATGGAAGATTTCAGAACTAATGCTTAGACTCTCACTGCCTTTTCTCATATTTATCACATGCTTGCTTACTCAACACTACAAATGCAAAGGGGAGAGTTGAGAGAATTATAATTAAAGCCCAAAGACCTTTCACCTGGAAATATCCAAGAGAAAGAGGTATAAGTACCTTTGGCCTTGATTTTCTGCATCCCTCACAGTCTCTCTCAGGCAGACCTTTTGAGTCACTTCATTGTCCGGAAGAGAGATACAGAGATGTTAGGGGTGACATTGTGAGACTGAATTGTAATTAGATCCTGACTGATTTCCACTATCTCCCCTCTGGTCGTCTCAATGCTGCCCTAGCATCCTTTTCCTATCTCTATGAGAACCAATCAGATTACTGAGCTCTATACCCTAAATAAGTGCTCAGGACTCACAGAAGGATTATAGATTGTAAAGAAAAGTCAATAAGAACCATGTGGAACTATTTGTTTTTATGTCCTCTTTGAGTCTACAGAGATGGGTTTAGAACCCTATATGTGAGGCCCCACTATTTGGAAATGGAGCCAAACTGCTTCTTTTCATATCTTAAGAGTGTCAATACAGCACTAGTATAGTCTATTTTTCAGTGTTAACAGAAAAATAGGAAAAATGCCCAAGTAAAAACAAGGATGTCTCTTTATTTTGATCATTATCATAATGTCATAGCTATTTTGCAGCTAACAAAACTGTCTATCCCCTTTAAAATTCCAGATACCTATTTATAGTTATTGGCTACTTCTCTGTTACTTGGTTTTAAGTTAGCTTTTAAGGTCTCCAACTTTGAGAACTGTATCTAGGATATGAATTTTTCTGTTAGCTTCCCCTCAGATTTATTCCTGAAAATGATGTCAGGAAGGCCAAATCACACAGAAGGAGGAGCAGTGTTCTGCAGTTACTGTGTGATGTTCTCAGCAGGACTGTCTTTCATTTGAAACTTTCATGCCAAATGCCCCATAAAAAATAGTTAATTTTGTTCTGAAACGGAAGGATTGAGTCACCTTAAATAGCAAGAAATCTAGTAAAACTTTTAGCAGAATTTTATAACTCAAAGGTAGTCCTTGAGTCTGTCATTGGTTTTGACAGGACTTTTTCAGCAAATTTTCAAGGGAGAACCTATCAAGCTCTTGAGAAATTACATCCTTTTAGAACCCATCTTGGCAAAATTAAAATAATTGGCTAAAAAGTGAGATTGTTAGTCTTCACAAAGTCTTCAGTTCATGATTCCTTGACTAAGTCAAATGCTTATTTGACTATTATGAAGATAGGATCTTTGGAAGGTCTTCAAAGAAACTTACACACAAGGGGCAGCTAGGTGGCACAGTGGATAGAGCACCAGCCCTGGAGTCAGGAGGACCTGAGTTCACATCCAGCCTCAGACACTTGACACTTACTAGCTATGTGACCCTGGGCAAGTCACTTAACCCCATTGCCTAGCCAAAAAAAAAAATTTTACACATAAACATATGCATACTATACACTGGATATGTATGTGTGTATGTTAGTATCTTAGAATACTTATGGAATAGCATTACTTTATGTGATGACATACACACATAAATTGAATCTCAGAGTTTTCTGAGATTATGTAACTCACTTACTTTCTCTCTGTCGAAGCCATACTGAACTCAGATTGATTATTCATAAATCGTCAACCAATTAATTGTGAAATAAGTTACACCTGGCAATAAAAATGAGTATGCTGTATAATAGACTATAACAGTCCTCCCCAAGTTAGTCCCAAACCTTCAACCTCAAGAAATAACTATGTCATATGCTAAGTATGTCATAAACGTTAGTCATAAAGGCTGCTAAAGGCTATAACATGATTTTATAAATTGCTTGCATTTTCACGTCTGTGGATATTGTTTTAAAAGGCTGATCAAAGTTATTGAAGAACAACTTTAGAATATGATATCTCTAGGTTTAGTGATAAAAAAAAAAGACTGTATATGTTCATCTTTGGTCTAAGGATGTCTGACACATATGCCCACTGTAATGTGCAATCCTATATGGGGTATCATCATTAAGATCAGTTTGTCTATTCATCTGGCTCTGCCAAATAAAGGGAAAGCATAACCAATAAATCAACTAAAACAACAAACATGACCTAAATAATGACCTCTGCCCAAACTAGAAAGAAGAAGAAATTGATCAAGCAGTTATTGTTGTTGTTTTCAGTCATTTAATTCATATTCCACTCTTTGTGACCTTGTTCTTGGCAAAGATACTGAAATGGTTTGCCATTCCTTTTCCAGCCCATTTTACAAATGAGGAAACTGAGGCAAATAGGGTTAAATAACTTGCCCAGGGTCACACAGGCCAGATTTGAACTTAGGTCTTTCTGACTCTAGGCCCATAACTCTATCCACTGTGCCACCTAGCTACTCCAAGCAATTATATCAAAAGAAAAAAAAACAAAAAACAAAGCATCACAAGGTAATGAGAGGCTCCTTCCATGCTTTCAGACAGTGTGGCTAAGGGGTGAGGAATCTGCGGCTTTGAGGTTAGATGTGGCCTTCTAAGTCCTTCAGTAAGGCCACAGGTTACCCACCCCAGTATGTGCTTTGGGGATGGTAATCATTATGTTATTACTAAATTCTTTTCTCTTATGGCCCCAGAGCTATAGTATTTCAAATGAAATTGTGATCTTGTATACTGAATGCTTTGAAGGAAATTAGTCCTTTTCTATAAGAGATCTTTGTATCATTTGGTCATTTCCTTTCCCATATCCCCACCCAAATATACATATTCTCTTTGCCTTCTTCCCTACTTCCTTCTCCTATCCCTTTCTACATACATATGTTTGAGAGAGAAAGAGAAAGAGAGAATTTGTTTATACATGTATATATGCACACACATGTGCATAAGTATTTATTTGTATATATTTTAAACATTTCAAAATATTGCATACCTATATGGAAAGTGTGATTTTCCTGTACTAGGGTAGCTCATTTTTAAAGCCTTAAAAAATTATCATCTGAGTGAATTGTACTAGCAAGACAGTTCAATGTGAATTGAGAAGAAAAAAACAAGCAGAGTTCTCAAGGACTAGATTACTTATTACAGAACAGAATACTTATGAAATTGTAAACTTTCACTAGGGAATAACTGAAGAAAAACTTGAGTCTGATGCCAGACACTTGGTGATATTTTATAATCAGAGTATAAGAAATGTCTCAGAGAAGATGACCACCTCATGAAAGGTATCAATCTTCATGCTTGACTGAAAAATGCATTTTTAATTGCCTGTTTTGGTCAGAGTCTGGAACCATACCATAATATTCTTTGGGAATATATATCTCATTCATTGATTTTACTGCTTTCTTCTGTCCCTTTTTCCAGTATATATTAGAGAAGAAAATATAGAATTCCAATATGAAGGAGAGTTGATATATCATCTTGTCAAAGGGTCTATTCTCTTCTTTCATCATAATATCTAATGATGATTGTTCATTTCTGCAACTGAAAAAGAGCAGCTTCCAAGTTAGTCAATAATCCATTAAGCTTGTTTTAAGTCATGTTCAGATGGTAGTATTGTTGTTTGGTCATGTCTAACTTTTCATGACCCCATTTGGGGTTTTCTTGGCAAAGATACCAGAGTGGTTTACAATTTCCTTCTCCAGCTCATTTTCAAACAAGAAAACTGAGGCAAAGAGGCTTAAGTGACTTGCTCAGGGTCACGCAGCTAGTAAGTGTCTGAAGCCAGATTTAAACTCAGGCAGAAGAGTCTTCCTGACTCCAGGCCCAGCACTCTATCCACTGTATCATCTAGCTGCCCTGTTGAGATGATAGAGATGTCCTTAATCTGTATAGAGGAATTCTGAAGTAGATAAGCTGTTTTTGAAAAATGTGAGTGTAGTCTATATGGGAAAAGAAAAAAGCAAAATACCTCCACCTAACAGAGAGAAATTATTAGGTTATTCCCTAGGGAAAGTTTACAGTTTCATCAGAAAGGGAGGTAAAGAGAGACACCTGAGGTCAAATCCAGCCTTGGACATTAGCTAGCTATGTGACCTTGGACCAGTCACTTAACCTCCATTTGCGTCACTTTCCTAATCTGCAAAATAAAGATAGTAATATCATCACCTACCTCACAAAGTTGTTGTGGGGATCAAAGGAGATAACATACATAAAGTGCTTTGCAAACCTTAAAGGAATATATAAATGCTAGCTATTATTATTAAGTGGCTGACCCAAGGTCACCTATGTTATATCAAAGGAAAAAACTGAACACATGTTCTCTGACTCCAAAGCCAGTGCTCTTCCCACTTTTATCATAGTAATAGCATTTTAGAGTGTTTTAAGGTTTACAAAGCATGTTACAAATATCTCATTTGATCCTAACAACCGTATGAGAAAACTGAGGCAGGCAGAGGTTAAGTGACTTGCCCAGAGTCTTACAGCTTGTTAATTATTTGAGGCTGGATTTGAACTGAAGCTGACTTCAGGTCCAGAACTCCATCTACAATACCATATAGCTGCTTCTACCACAATCCCTCCTCTGCTGTAAGGAGGCATAATTTCAAATGAGATCATGTATTTGAAATGATTTGAAATTAGATAGATAGAGAGAGAGAGGGAGAGAGGGAGAGAGAGAGAGAGAGAGAGAGAGATACATATCACCCATATAACATGGTATTCATAATCAATTTAGAATTTGTATCCTTCTGGGTTCTACTTGGATTTATTAATTCTCCTAATACTAGGGAAGGGAGCAAAAGAGAACTTTGTGGTAGAATTTTAGGCGTTCACCCAGGGACAAGATTCTAAAGTCTGAGAAACAACTTCACATTTAGCTTTTCACTGATGCAAATACAGTCAGTTCCTCTATAATGCATACTTTGAGAATGCAAATGTGTTCTAACACAAATGATTTATTACAGAATATAGGGTATAATTCAAATTTCACATTTCTTCCTGAGAAATAGTGAGAATTCAGAAAATTTCCCCACTTCCCAGTAAGTCACAAGACACAATCCTTCCTACTCCAACAAGCAAACTTCAGGTCTTTTTTAAGGTAAAACTGCATATTTGTTATATATCTTCTGGAATAATAGAAACTCTGGGCAATTGAGGGCTGGTCCCCACCACCCCTCCGCCACCTTCTGCCCTGGCTGAGATGCCCCGAGGACCAGTTTTGGCTGGCCCAACTTGTCACTCTCCTGACTTTGACTGTTCAGCCCAAGGCCAGGGATGCTGCCACTATTTATTATAGTATTTATGTATTTCTTCACCATTTAATATGAATAAAACTGTGCTATCATCTTTAATTAGGTGCCACGATGATGTTTTTGAACATTGTGGCCCTAACCCATTCTTCCTCGTAAGGTTTGTAGGTTTTATTGTGTGATTTTGTATACCATGGTAGTTTTTGAGAACACATATACCACATTATAGCACAACTGACTGCAGATGATATCAACACTAATGGGAATCTTGGTGTAAATTTCCATTTACAAAAGAGGAAAATAATAACTTGCATTTATATAAGACTTTATAGTTTGCAGTAGTTTCTTCCAATAACAAGGATGAAACAAAGAGGCATTAGGACATGCAGGCACATCTAATTAGTAGTGAAAGTGTAAGTACAGGGTCTAAGATTAATAATGGACTCAAAATGTTAACTTCAATTATGGAATGAAGAACTAATTATTTGAAATAGTTGGTACTTTAATGTATCGCTACATACACTCATATGATTTATGGCCAGTGAATAAGTAGTTGATGTAATTATTATCAAACCTACTGAACTCCAAAAACTGTTGAGGGCCACTATTTTCTGAATCTTCTAACAGTGTCTAGTGAGTCTTTAAATAAGCATGTACAATTTTGCTTGAAAGAAATAGAAAGCTTTAGTGGGGACTACCTAGCTCAATACAAATATGCAAATTTATATAAAATGACTCCCACAAATGATAAAATTGTTAACTGTAATCCTAAAATGTGAAACCAATTATTTCAGAAAAAGGGATATAAATTAATTATCACAGTACTATTCCTCAGCCCAAAGAGACCTACTATTCAGTTACCTTAGAATGGAAGAATTAAATAGTGCTATAGCATCTATGAAAAAAAGAGAGAAGAATAAACCCAAGCCTTAGCTATCCTTCCTGAATGATAAGGAAAGAGAGAGGATAAACCAAGGTGTATCTTAAGAAGAGAGTCTTAAAAGTCCCACTGACAATTTCCAATCAGGTCAGGTCACAGGCTAGAATCCAGGCCTACACCACCTCCCAGAGCATGAGAGGTAATATCCCCTGCATTCCATGCCCTGCCAGACCTGAATATCCATGGATGTCTAACTCTTTCCCAAGGGATGTAAGTTTTTAATCAAGAGAATCCTGCCTCATTCAAAATGGAAAGGCACTTTCTTAATCTATACCACCAGATTAGTCAGGTTAACTTCTCTAACTGGAGCCAGTCGAGGAAGGGCCAGCTCACTCCAGCCTCATCCCATTCTCAGCAGCTAGAAGATAACTAACTGGGTGGCAGCTAGTAATTCATAATCTAGCCAAGGATGGCCAAGCAAGTAGCCTCCAAATATAACGAATTGTTACTTTATCCTGTTTAAAAGTCAATGAATGAGGGAGAAAAGAATGAAAAGCTATTGTGAGCATTGACACAACCTGCACAAGTATTCCTCATGATGAGAAAAGCTAATATACAAATTCCAAAGTCACCAGAGCAATAAAATAGGTGATTATTGCAACTCTGATCGAGGAAGCATGA